GCTGCTGCTTCATGTACTTTGACATCTCTCTTACATCTCTTTTACTGAAACACTGAACAGCTACTACAACATTCTACTGCTGTGGCTTTGATACAGGATTATTACTGTTATTTTCTAAGGACGCTGCTGCTGCTGCTGCTGCTACTGTCGCGGCTTGATACAGGACTATTGCCGTTATTATCTGAGGTTGCTGCTGCTGCCGCTGCTGCTACTGCTACTGCTGCAACCCACTCTCTCAGAAGCTTATCCTGCTTCTAATGGATGCAGCCCGGCTGAGCATGCCGCGCTGCGCTGGACTCGCACCTATGCTCCCAGGGTCGCTTCGGCGGTCATGCTTCATCTCTCTACTTAATCTTCTGATTCTATCAGATGCAGCTGGCCGAGTAGCTGCGCTGAGCCGTCATTCGGACTCCTAATCAAAGGCATCCATACCTGTATTCTTCACTCTTCTGATCGCAGGCTCCCCATCATGCTGCCCATCCTGCAGCGGCGCTGAACTCCGGCTCATCTTCCAAGTACATGTCTGCCCTCCTCGCAGCATCTTCCTGCTCTCCTTCTATGGCTTCTCTGCATAAGCGTTTCACCATTGCTCACTCAACCTTCATGCGGTCCGAGACACGGCTTTCCCGACCATCCTACTATCCTGATTATCTACTCTCCAACCCAAGATTCTAAGCGTAAGGGCGCCTGCAACATCAATGGCCCTCTCCGATATGTCTCTGCCCCTACAGGTCTCCGCTTCTACACGGACGCTGCCCCTTCCGTGGGTTTTGGGGGATTCTTCCAGGACCATTGGTTGCCGAGCGTGGCCGCTACTTTCCACCGGAGCATCTCCTCTGCCCTACACATGATACTCCCAGTGGTCGTGGCCTGCGCGCTGTGGAATCACGCGTGGCAGAGAAAGAGGATCTCTGTCATGTGTGATAATCTCAAGGCAAGGCAAGGCAAGTTTATTTGTATAGCACAATTCATACACAAGGCAATTCAAAGTGCTGAACAAAATAAGAAAGTATTAAAATCATAAATAATCACGGTACATTAAAAAAAAAAGAAAGATACAAATATAAAATCCCTCAGTTGTATGCACAGCTAAACAGAACTGTTTTCAACCTTGTCTTAAACATTGTCAGAGAGGAGGCCTGTCTCACATCTTCAGGAAGACTGTTCCAGATTTTAGCAGCATGAATCTGAAAAGCAGCCTCCCCATGTTTAGTTCTGACTCTGGGCACTAACAGGAGTCCAGTCCCTGTGCTCCTCAGAGTCCGGGCTGGTTCATATGGGACTAACATGTCACTAATATAGTTTGGTGCGAGGCCATGGAGAGATTTGTACACAAGCAGAGCTGTTTTAAAGTCTATTCTCTGAGCCACAGGAAGCCAGTGCAGGGACTTGAGGACCGGACTAATGTGGTCGTACTTCCTGGTTCTAGTCAGGACTCGAGCTGCTGCATTTTGAATGTACTGCAGCTGTTTTACAGCCTGTTTGGACAGACCTGTGAGCAGGCCATTGCAGTAGTCTAACCTACTGGAGACAAATGCATGGATAAGAATCTCCAAGTCTGCTTTAGACACTATGTTTTTAATCCTGGCAATGTTTTTTAGATGGTAAAAAGCTGCTGATGTTACTGATTTGATGTGGCTATTAAAATTTAAGTCTGAGTCCAGTATTACCCCTAGATTTCTGACCTTGTTTGAAGGTTTTAGGGAGAGAGACTGTAGGTGACAGATGACGCTCTCTCTTTGTTTCTGGGGACCAAAGACAATCATTTCAGTTTTGTCTGCGTTTAGCTGAAGGAAGTTGTTTTGCATCCACTCACTAATCTGTTGGATACAGTGAAGGAGTGAGTCCACTGGTCCATGTTCTCCTGCAGTCAGTGAGACATAGATCTGAGTGTCGTCTGCATAGTTGTGATAGGACACTTTGTTTCTGCGTATTAACTGACCTAACGGCAGCATGTAGAGATTGAACAGAAGAGGTCCCAGGATCGACCCCTGTGGTACTCCACAGGTCAGGGCCATATGATCTGAGACACAGTCTCCAATCTCCACAAAGTACTTCCTGTCTTCAAGGTAAGACCTAAACCAACTTAGGGCGGTGCCAGCGACTCCAACCCAGTCCTCTAGTCTCTGTAAGAGGATCTCATGGTCGACGGTGTCAAAGGCAGCACTCAGATCTAACAAGATTAAGATTGAGACTTTGCCTGCGTCAGTGTTCAGCCGGATATCGTTTGTAACCTTGACAAGAGCAGTCTCAGTGCTGTAGTAGTGCTCGACGTAGTGGAAGCATTACACAAAGGTCGCTCTTTTTCACCCAACATAATGTCCCCTGACCATCTCAACCTCCGTCTCAAACATTCAAAAATCAAAGGAGCCTGCAATATAGTAATAGCTCGCTCGGACACATCTCTCTGCCCCTACAAATCCGTTATGCGTTACACTCGCCTCCGCTGCAAAAAGGAGATCTTAACGGACCTCTATTTCTCACTCCAGACATTCTTCCCATGACAGCAACCTGGTTCAGAGCTCGACTGAGATCCCTACTGCTCCTCTGTAAATTGTCTCCCCAGCTCTACACAGCTCACTCCTTCAGGATAGGCGCCGCCACGCGCGCGGCCTCGCTGGGGCTCCCCCACACCTCTCTGCAACAGCTGGGGCGCTGGTCCTCTTCGGCCTTCTCCGCCTACATCAGGCCAGACGCGTCCGCTATCCTGGCTGCACAACGGCTACTGGCTTCCTCGTAAGCTCCCAGCAAAGCATACAAAGCAAAGTAAGTGAACCAATAAGATTCTGGTGGCGGCACGCACTTCTTCAAAGATAACTCTGTTGCAGCGTCCGGTTGATCGTGATGCGAGCGCTCACGTCCCGGCGCTCAAAGATAACTCTGCTACAGCGTCTGGTACCGATCGTGACGCGAGCGCTCACGTCCCAGGCAGCGTCCGGTTGATCGTGATGCGAGCGCTCACGTCCCGGCGCTTAAAGATAACTCCACTGCAGCGTCTGGTACCGATCGTGATGCAAGCGCTCACGTCCCAGACAGCGTCCGGTTGATCGTGATGCGAGCGCTCACGTCCCGGCGCTCAAAGACAACTCTGCTACAGCGTCTGGTATCGATCGTGATGCGAGCGCTCACGTCCCAGGCAGCGTCCGGTTAAATCGTGATGCGAGCGCTCACGTCCCGGCGCTCAAAGACAACTCTGCTACAGCGTCTGGTATCGATCGTGATGCGAGCGCTCACGTCCCAGGCAGCGTCCGGTTGATCGTGAAGCGAGCGCTCACGTCCCGGCGCGCAAAGATAACTCTGCCCGTTTTTGGGGATTATGCGCGCGAGCAAGCGCCGCACTCAACAGCATCTCTCCCGGGCCTAGGGCGCCAAACATACTCAATCAACAAACTTCTAACTGCATTTTCCCTCTTGGGTCTCTCCAAAGTGAAATGAAGCTCTTCGCGAAAGTTCACTGTGGTAGACCCGGCCACTGCTGCCAGATCTACAAGCCTGCTCATCCTCTACTCATTACACCAGCAAAACGCCCACATCCAATCCACCAATAACCACCAGGACAGCAAGTTAAAAGCCGGAGACGCCCACTTCCCGGCCTTCTGAAGTTTGCAAAGCCTCCGCCGCCCCACCTCCTCCTTCTCTCATCGAAGCGTGCTTGCCTACTGCCTCTGCCGTCACCAGTGCCTAGGCCCCGGGGGGATTATGCGCGCGAGCAAGCGCCGCACTCAACAGCATCTCTCCCGGGCCTAGGGCGCCAAACATACTCAATCAACAAACTTCTAACTGCATTTTCCCTCTTGGGTCTCTCCAAAGTGAATTATGTATTGTGTTATGTTGTCTATTATGTTATATATTATGCTGTATGTTATGTTGTGTATTATATATGATATATATGGTATGTATGGTATATATGATGTATATGATATATAATATATAATTAGGTTTGCCTGGATCGGTTTGCACACCTGGTGTGCAATCCATGAATCTTGGTGCTGTAACCTAGACTAGCCTAGCCGTGGCTGCTGCTGTCTCACCTCCTTTCAGATACGCTCTCTTTATTCAAGGCTAGGTTTAAAACAGTCCTCTTTAGTTTAGCATATGGCTAGGAAGGTAAGACTCAGGGAAGGCTAAACTCCTCAGACTGTCAGTAAAGCTGCATAGGGAGTCAGTTTGCTGGGAGAAGTATGGTAACTTGAGCACTATCCTCTCCTCCTTCCTTCTTTATCTGTTTAGCATTTTTAGGATTTTGACTGTAGTTTGTTCATTGCTATTCACCCGTTGTGCCATTGTCTGTTTCATGGTACGATGACGGGATCTCTGAGCCTGGCCTCCTCCATCTACACCTGCGGACTGCCCCGCCCGACCCGCCTAGGAGTGCTTCAGTATTGCACCGGACCTGTCCACGTTCAGCGTCCACTGGTCCACGTTCTGTAGCTAGCTTAGGTCCTAGATCATTAGCCTGTCCGTCCGGAGGAGCGGATCCCTTTCTCATATGGGTCTCCCTCCCTGTGGGTTTCCCTAGTGCTCCTCCAAGGTTTCTCACTTTTTCCCACTGGGTTTTTTAAGAGTTTTTCCTTGTCGATGCAGGAGGGTCTTGTTGGACAGTTAGTGTCCAACAGAAAGGATTGGTGATGATCAGGACACTTTAGCATTCTACAACATGTATGGACATTTTCTTCTGTGTGTGCTTTATATTTTTCATGTTTTTTAACTGTTGATTCTCTGACCTGTGTTGGTGATTTCAATGGTTTTGTTAAGTCCTCTGAGATGACTTCTGTTGTGACCTAGGGCTATACAAGAATAAATTGTGTATTGTATTGTATTGTGTATAAAAATATGAGTATAGTCTGTCTAACACACAACACACACTTTTTAAATGTATTGGCTTTAGTGGAATAATGCAGATTGTGTTTCCATAGACGTGCTTGATATGAATATGGAAATACTACATATGTATTATAATAACAATAACTAGTAACTTTAGTGAAGTTTGCAGGACTTACCAGAGTGAGTCCTCCAGTCAGCAGAGGTGGGCTTTCTACAAGTCAGAGAGAAACGTGAACACAAAAGCAACACAATGAGAGCCATGTACTGTAATAACACACACTATAAGTACTGTAATAACACACACTATAAGTACTGTAATAACACACACTATAAGTACTGTAATAACACACAATATTAGTATTGTAATAACAACAAAATAAAGAGACCAGAGAGAGAGACTAGAGAAAGACCAGAGAGAGACCAGAGAGAGACCAGAGAGAGACTAGAGAAAGACCAGAGAAAGACCAGAGAGAGACCAGAGAGACCAGAAGGAGACCAGAGACCAGAGAGAGAGAGAGAGAGAGAGACTAGAGAAAGACCAGAGAGACCAGAGACAAGAGAGAGAGAGAGAGAGAGAGACCAGAGAGAGAGACTAGAGAAAGACCAGAGACAAGAAAGACCAGAGACAAGAGAGAGAGAGAGAGAGAGAGAGAGAGAGAGAGAGAGACCAGAGAGAGAGAGAGAGACTAGAGAGAGACCAGAGAGAGACCAGAGAGAGACCAAGACAGAGAGACAGAGAGAAGAGACCAGAGAAGAGACCAGAGAGAGACCCAGAGAGAGACAGAAGAGAGAGAGACCAGAGAGACAGAGAGAGAGAGAGAGAGAGAGAGACTAGAGAAAGACCAGAGAGACCAGAGACAAGAGAGAGAGAGAGAGAGAGAGACTAGAGAAAGACCAGAGACAAGAGAGAGAGAGAGAGAGAGAGAGAGAGAGAGAGACCAGAGAGAGAGAGAGAGAGAGAGAGACCAGAGAGAGAGACTAGAGAAAGACCAGAGAGAGACCAGAAGGAGACCAGAGACGAGAGAGAGAGTAGATAAATAGATATATATATATACTTCATTGATCCCAATAACATAAATGCAGGTGTCCAGCAGGAAACATATCCATTTATACAAACACAAACATAATTCTAATAAAGTTCATTATAAAGTGCACAGAGCTAATAACATGCGAACTCACTGCAAGGACTATGCTTCCCCCCCGGACTGGCCCACGGATTGGCCCCCGGACTGGGCCCCAGACTGGCCCCGAGACTGGCCCCCAGAAGACTCGCCAGCAGCAGCACGACCTTCATGTTGTTGTTGTGGTTGTGTCACTGCCTCCTCTGAGCCGCGTCCTTATAAACCCGCTCCACACGGTCCAGGTCATGGATCCAAACCCGGAAATTACAGCGAGCTTTACGTAAACGTCACATGCGTCCGAAATCACTCCTCCTTCCTTGTACTAAAACACTTGTAGTAAACAGGGCAGCGCCAACTAAAGTTTGAGATAATGTGAAACTTATATATTCATACTTTTTATTAACAACAGTTGGGTATAATAATGTGCCATCAATATCAATAAGACATAAGTCATAAGGAAGTGTTGTGAATTCAGACCGTAAATTCAGTATAGCAGCTTTTTGTATGTGTTTGTATATATTTGTCTGCGTTATTGTGTGTTTTTAATACCCTTTGTGATTTTAATTGTATTTTTAATGTTTTTGTGGATTTTAATGTCTAGGATTTATGCATGATGTAAAATGGGTTGTGAGGCGCCTTGTGTTGCCTTGTGTAGGAAAGGCGCTCTACAAATTAAAGTAATCTTGTGAATTCAGATGCAGCCATTCATGGGTAGATAACAGGTGATTTGGGTTTTAGTAACAACGATCGGCCACGTTTATATAAATATTGAGAGAAGCGCTAAGAGCACATGGGAAAGTACAAAAGGCACAGTTGCTATATTAAATTATTAAAATGTGAATACCAGGGCTGGACTCGGACAAAAAAACGGCCCGGGCATTTTTTCCTTCTTAGCGGCCCAGGCAACTCAAAAGGTTCAAGGAGCCATATTTGACAAAAAAACTAAAAACAACTTCTGTCTGGAGCCGCAAAAAAAAAAAAAACACCGTTGTATAAGGCTTATATGAAGGTAACAGGGGCTGAAGCTGTATTAGCTACATTAGCTACCTTAGCTACATTAGCTATATTAGCCTAACATCTAAATGACAAAGTAAAGGCTAAACACATCCAAACCATTCATGATTATCAAATGTGTATTTTCATTGCAGCGTGTCCTGGAGAGAATGACGCACCACATGACAAGTCTGCTTTAAGTTTAACCTTCATGCAATTGTACAAATACAGTAAATAAATCTGCTTTTTGGCTCCGAGTTCACCTGCATCACTGTCTGTTCATATCCATCACATCACATGAAGTTTGCTGGAGCTGAATGTCCTTAATGGCCTTTTCTTTCACCGTCTTTGCGAAGGTTTTTGAAGTCTGAAAATAGGTGCTCTGACTTTATGATGAATGAACTGTGTTTAAAGCTTCATTGTTCCTCGTGTTGCAACAAAACTTTTCATTACATCGCAAACATGAAGCAGTCCTTCCTCATTGACTGAAAGCAAATGTTCATTCTCATACTTAGTCCAGTCTTATTATCGACTCTTTATCTTTGAGATCCATGCGCACACACAGTCTATAATGCACACACGCCGGTTTGTTTACAGCAGCGGCCGCCTGGCACGGGCCGCATCACAGGATATGACGCACTACGTTGACAGAAATGCTAAAATTGAATATTACTTAATACTTATACAAGTTTTTGCAGCATTGAAAAACGTTAAGAATGTTTTTCCTCCTACAGAAACCACATTCAAACTAGAAATAAAATATAGCCCTCACACTCCATTTTCAGACATTTTTGAAAAGGCTCCAGGAGCCACTTTAGGGGCACTAAAGGTTGCCGACCCCTGGTTTATACAGTATGTGGAAGCAAATACTGTAGAGCAGCCATTCCCAAACTCAGTAACACCGAGGCCCCCTTAAAAATCTGACGGGTCTGCGTGGCCCCCCAAAATAATAACCAAGAAGACAACATTAAGAATAGGCTCTTCTGGTTATTTTATTTTGGGGAAATAGCCTCTGCTACAAACATTGTAATACAAAAATGATTACAGTGGATTATTCAAGTCAAATAATGAACACAAATATTTTAATATTACAAACAAAACATTATAAATTTAACATTAAATAATTATATTATTTTTTTATTTTTTTTATGACCTCCCGCGGCCCCCCTGCAGTACCCTCGCGGCCCACCAGGGGGCCGCGGACCCCACTTTGGGAGACACTGCTGTAGAGGATCAGGATGTCTGTAGTTTCAACAATAAAATAAAGTACAATAGTCTACATTAAACAGAGTAATAAACATGTCTCAGAGTGAGGGAGGTGGGCACAGACAATACTATTGTTGAGCTGGCTCTAAATCTGTTTAATCTGTTCACAACATTTTACTTTTGGGCTCAAACATGAACTTTTAATGCAATGGAAAATTTAGGTACCCGATCTTTAATTTAGAGGAGAGGGGTGACGCGGACTGTTTTCTGCAGCAGTGTATTTATTGGGTGCACAAATTACGCAAAGACACGCATGGTCCTATGCGCGTTTATGAACTTGGGTACATGGTCACGTTGCGGCTACGCGCTCACCGTGTTGTGAGCGGTTCCCGGTGAGCGGTTCCTGCGTCCAGCTCAGAGCCGCTGGATGCGGGAACACTGCGGCCGCTGAGGTGGTGGAATCCCGTTCGAGTACATACAGCAGGTGCCCCGCGGACACGCGCGCTCCCCTCAAACATTTCTTAACGGATTTACACTTTTCACAAACTTGTTTTTTGTATGAGGCAGACAGACCGGCCCAAATATGGGCATCGGCCCTTCGGGCATTGCCCGGTACGCCCGATGGCCAGTCCAGCCCTGGTGAATACTCAACTTTGAAAGCGCCAATAAAGGGAACTAAATAAAATCCATGTCACAAGTTCCTCATTTTTCCATTGCATATGATTGACCTCATTCTCATCTTTAGATTCTCTTTTTAAGACAGAAAAGTGACACACAGACTGTAATGTGATGGCTCTATTTTATGTGTAATGTTATTGAAGCAGTGATGTGGCTGAGGGATATAAAAGCTGCTTCCGGTTAAACACATGTGTTCTGACGCTGTACGACTGATGCATGACCGGTGTTATGTTCGACATTAAAGCCGATAAACTTATTGGTGTTCCTCCTGACTTTGCATAACACTACACAGACCACCATACTCAGCCAATCAGCAATAACCAGAGATAAAACCAGCTAAATTTCATATAGCAACCCAAAAAACTCTGCTCTCTGATGGGAAAATCTGCTTTTAAATCATGAAGAAAAAATATTAAATACATGAAATATTACATACTGCCCCTTTAAGCCAAATGGTGATCTGAACATAGAAGCATGGCTAACCACAACCAAACCACATTAGGCAAGGCAAAGTTGATTTTTATAGCACAGTTCATACACAAGGCAACTCAAAGTGTTTTAACCTGGAATTTTTAAACTTAATCAGAGAAGAAGCCTGTCCATTTTCAGGAAGACTGTTCCACATTTCCTTTCACTTCCTGTATTTTATAAGTCCATTTGGCCATTTTAGTTCTTCATTTACAGCTATAGCTAAGAAACATAGCAGCTATGTATTAGGTTTATTTTGTGTGCTCCCAGTGTGCTCTTACTACTGTCCTGTCTGTGCGTTGCAACATTGGAATTTTCCCACTGTGGTAAGAATAAAGGATATTTATTCTGCAGTCACTTTGCCTCTGTCCATGAATTATACAGATGAAAAATAGTTAGTAGCCATGTCCGGTCTGAAACAATACCTTTATTGTGCATTGTCCTTGTCAAATAATTAAATAAGTTAATAAATGCACACATACATATTTAGGATTTGCGCTCCATGAATCTGAAAAGCTGCCTCCTCAGTTAAAGTTAATTATTCAGCATATAGTAATAGTAAACTCTTGTAAAATACAGCGGTGTCATGTCATTTGGCCTTGTGCTGAGTGGGACAGGGGTAAAAACCGGGTGGAGGTAAAACATGGAGTGGATTTTTACATATCCATAACGTTGTTTACAGGATTGGACGGTTCTCCTTTGCCCCTGGAGTGATCTCACCGTCACATGTCTGCAGGTGCGGCGTGTCGTAGCTTTTACCACATACATCACATGACAAAAGAACCTCAAAGGACACATAAAGACAAGATTATCACTTCATAAACGCACACAAATGAACGAATGAAGTCACTGTGTTAATGCCATGCGTCCTAAATACTCATGAGATAGCAGCAGCTGTAGTCATAGTGTAGAGATGGGAGCAAGGGCGTAGGTTTGCGTGGGGACCATGGGGACATGTCCCCACCAATATTTGGTGAGGACTAAAAAGTCCCCACCAAAATGACATGATGTCCCGTGACCCGGACGGTCCGGGACACATGTCTTCGGTTTGTGCACACGTCGCGCCTCCTCCTCCCCAGCCGCGGCGCTCAGTGAAAGCACAGCTCTAACATGGTACCGAGCTCGGACCATATGCAGACAGAACCATGTTGCAAGTGCGGGTCTCCCTCGTATCTCCCCCGTTTCTCCCCTGTGTCTCTGACATGTCTCTCCCCTGACTCTTCCCAAAGCGCAACCAGCGCTCCCGAAATTAAAGCTTGGATACCTAAATTTTCCATTGCGTTAACGATGCATGCTGGTTGTGCGCAAAACACACCACAACAGGTCATTTAAGTTTTTATTTTGCATACTTGAGAACCCTGTGAGTCATTACTTGCCTTTTTGGGTTGAGAGCGGAATAAAAAAAAGAAAATATAGAAAAATCCACACTGTTACTTATTGCCAAACTCTTGTTAACTCATTGTATTGAGAAATACTATGTAACTTTTGACATTGGCCAAGTTATATAAATGATTCTGCAGTTCATGTATATGAATGTCTGTTTTTGATTGTCTATACCTTCTTATATAATTTAGAAAAAATGCCACCTCCACAAAAAAAGATAAAAGATATCAGGAGCTTTTTTAACAGTTGGAAAGTAAGTAAGAGAAAGCACAAGTAATAGCAAATTATGAATTGTGATGATTAATCTTCTGTTAACATACATAGGAAACTCAACCACCAAGAGAGAACAATATAGGGAATGTTGAGGTAGAAGCAACAGGCCCTTCAGTGCATCAGGCGAGGTTGGAATTTTGTAGGTATGCATGGGACTATGAATTGTTTTTAGAGATTGATCGTATATGTCAAACAATGTAGTGAGCTACTCACTGTAGATTCTAATTCAATATTTTCTCCTCTGTTTTTATTTATTATAGGAAATTGAAAGATCAGAGCATGATTTATTTCAAGTATCGAGAGCAGTTCCTAGAGCCTCAGGTGAGGGCTACTATGTAGATTTGGATTAGGTTTAAGTCAGTATAGAATCATACTAAAGTTAAAGAACATCATTTGGTTGGAAATTACCTATGCCAATTACAACATATTTTACTACTATAATGATGCAAAAAGTGTTGTCTGAAATCTTTTACTAAATATAGGACACTCTGAGAGATATAATGGAAATTCAAGAAGGAGATAAAGACAAGGACAAGACAGGACTCCAGGTGAGGTTAGGATTAAGCAGTTAAAATCTTAGACCCATCAACCAATTCTAGTTTCATGAGATATTTAGCGACTGGTGTACCATGCCTAGGTTTCATTTTATTCAATGTAGAATGTGTGTTTTTATTAATACCATAAAGGAAAGTCAGACAAACAGGGAATGTGCAGTACTGGTAGAGGATGAGGAAGTGGCTGGACCTTCAGGGCTTCAGGTGAGGTTGAAAGTATTTATTTGGTTTTGTTGGTGGTAGAAGGCAACACACTATTGCAAATATAGTGTGTGATTACACAACAAATTCTGGGGAAGAAACTCTGGACCCCGTGTCAATGGGTGTAAACTCAGGTCGTAGTGAATGTCCCCACCAAGATTGGAACCAAACCTACACCATTGGATGGGAGAAATACTGAATTTGAAGCTGCCTGGGGAACTTTTTTGTGTGTGCATATTTTATACATGTAGTTTGTCCCAACAGAGAGAAAAACTGTAAAAACAGACCAACAAGATTCTTTTGATGAATTAAAAAGCAGGTTCTCTTCTGTATAGTATTGAGAAAGAAAAAATCCATATGAGTCACTGAGTTTGGATGGACTAAAAATGGCAACAAAACTGTAAAAATGTATGCATTTTTACGGAAACCAAACTCATGAACATTTGTGTTTCCTTATTCACTTCCAAATTCTAGTCTGACCACAATCCAGGCCCAGGTGATGAGGCAGGTTTGTCATGTGATGGTGTGAGGTGACAGCTTAATTATACTGTATACAGCAAAAGAAAATGTAGTAATTTATGCCAGGGTTCCTATATCTTTACGAACCATGGCGCAGCTGGAAATGATACATAAGTTCATTCTTCACTCTTATAAACAATAATTTTTAGGGCTGGGACTCAATTAAAAAACATTAAATAATTATTTGTATTTAATTAATCTCTATTAATCGCATTTTAATCGCATATAAATATTTGACCTGAGAACAGTGAGAAGTATTTTTTTCACATGGATTTTTAGTTTGCCATTGAATAATGAATTAATAGTAAAACACAAGCTTAAGTAACAAAAATGTTTTTTATTTTTGTTCAAGTCCTCCAACAGACCAGTACAAATTAATTTCAATGCAACTCTCAATAACCTTGGCTAAAACAATAAAGAGTTCAACCTAAAGTTCCAGTTGCACCAACAACATAATACAAGATGGTAAAACAACATAGTTCAACATAAAATGTACCATTTAAAAAGTGTCAGTGATTGACCTCAATCCCTTCTATTCCCCCAATAACCTGATGAAAAAAAATCTCTCTGTCGCTTAGGCCACTGTTTGATCCACATTTCAGTAAAAACAAGCCCATTGGCCACAGGATACCTCCATGACTACTACTTCTACTTCTCTTTCAGCCAGTTGCTGAGACAAAATAGCCTGTTCACATTTTCGGAGCTCAAGGCGGCCCTTTTCTTTTGACCTTTGTGACCTGCCAATGAGAAAAGTCTTTTGCAAGGGACAGAAGTGTCATGGTGTGGGTTTTATTTTTGTATTTTTGTTTTATTTTGACATTGTTCTCTCTGGTTTGGTTTTAGTTGTACTTCCTGTCCTGTTTGCCCCTGTCTTGATTGTCTGCCCCGCCCTGATGTGTTTCACCTGTGTCTCTGTGTCTATATGTACCCTGTGCTTCTCTCCCCTTGTTGCTAGTCCATTGTCTTGTCAACGTCCTGTATTGTCTTGTTCATGTCTCTGTCTGTTTCCGTCCTGTTCCTGGTTCTGTATTTTGGATTTTGAGTTTTGTTTTTACCTTGGACTTTATTTTATTAAATCTTTATTTTGGCATTCTCGCATTTTGAGTCCTCCTCCTTCTCAGCACGTGACAAGAAGTGGCAGGGCTGCCCAGATACTTGCGGGCCAGGGCAGAAAGCTGTGGATGGGCTCCCTCATGAGTGGACCACCACTGCAGTGGGCAACCCGTCTCAATGATGGTGGGCTCTGCCCTGTAGCGGGTCAGAGCCCCGTTGGGCCCCTCTTCATCCTCATCCTCTGATTCAGAGTCTGAATGAAACCGCAGGAGGCTCCTCTTCCTTGCTCGCTCCTCTGTGGGTTCTGGAGTAGCTATGTCTTGATCTTTTCGCAGCAGTGCCTCAATGCTGGTCCTCTTGGTAGACACTTTAGGTCCTTAGAATTAGAATCAGCTTTATTGTCAAATCGTAGATTTACAGAGTAAAAAGATGGGTGACATTCATTTTCATACATGGTTCCCATAAAAAGAAAGAGAGAGGAGGGAAGAAGAGGGGGGGGGGGCAGGGTAAAGGGGGTCAAAAAGCAAAGAGAAAAGAAAAACAAAGAACATTACATGTTACCTTAAAGCGTGGGTCGAGTGCTGTAGCCACCGTGAGCCATTCATGGATGAGTGTATCTTGGCGTTCAGACAGGTCCTTTTTAAAGGCACCCTTGACCCTCACCACATACAGTACTCTGGGTCGTCATCAGAGACTTTCACTGAGAGCAGGTAACACAACAGAGCATGAGACATAAGTCTCACTCCCAAAGAGCTCAGTCACAAATCTGCAGAGGAAAGTGATTAATTATTGTGCCAATTAATAGTAGATTAAAAACAGTAGCAACTTTATACTATATAGTCATAATGATATTTATATTCAGTACAATAAGTATGAAAACAGTTGGTGGGTTTATACCTGCATGGTATAAGGAGGGTCTGGAGCCTCTGCAGTTGGTCTCACTCTGCTGTAGTTATCATGGTGAGCCTGTGCTTCTGTTTGGCTAGAGTATCCTTCACAGCCTCTTTTTTAGCAGGCGTGAGATCATAAACAGTGTTGAGTTCCACTTTGTAGAAACATCCTCCATCAGTGGCTCTTTGTCTTGTTCTAGTCGTGCTTTCTCCTTGTGCAGTTCGTCTGTGTTTGAGGGGCCATGTTTAAAATGCCCCACTATTTTACGACATTTTGCCAATGTGTCTGTGAACCCGCTATCAGCAAGGCAAACTGTGAGGGTCCTCTGCAACACGTGGGCAACACACGAATGTGCTGGAATGTGAGCTGTCTCATGGTTCGGGCATGGACATGGTTCCGATTGTGGTGACTTTTTGTCTGATTTCCCAGGCCTCTGCCACAGACTCAAAATCTTCTGCCACGTTTTCAGCAAAGTGCCTAGTGATAGTCTTCTGCATGGTAAAGGCAAATGCGTGAAGATGCCACTTCATGTCAATAAAGTGTGCCGTCACACGACTTTTAACGCGCTAATTTTTCTGTAGTTAATAATCGTAATTTAAGCGTTAAAGTCCTGGCCCTAGTAATTTTATTTTTATTTTGCAGAAGTATTCTTGGGTTTCATTAAACTGGCCAGTAGGGGGCGACTGAGCAGAGATGGGACAACTAAGTTTTGCTCCCATTGAAAACCATGTAAAGTCTGTTTTAGTTTAGTTTAGTCTTTATTTGGAAGGGACAATGTACAGAGACATTAAGCTCAAAGACAGATATGTTCTGCACCAGATTTTAGCTAAACAGCTAGTTTCCATCTGCAGTCCCTGGTTACATCAATAAAATACATGGATACAGTTATCTACAATCCAATAAAAATAACATCGTAATACAACACACACTCTCTGATACAGACACACACATTTAGCCTCATACCCATGTGTTAAAACCACACCTCATTCCCAGCATCACACATGCACAATACATCTACTAGTCACATGTCCCAACCACACATTTCAGATGATACATTAACACATTCAGTGCATATACAGTCTATGATTCAGTGCATTTCTCATCACATACTGATCACATACATCAGTTTCTTATCATACATAGTTCACATACATCAGTCGTCCTGGGTCAAACCTCAGGGTTCGTGTGAGCAGCTTTGATTGCTCCATAACCACTTTATTGAATAGTCTGTTTGACTCCTCAGTTTTGTAGTGAGCTCGTTCCATTTCTTTATTGCTTTAAATGAAAATGCTGATAGTGCAAAAGCAGTTTTACACCCGGGTATGCTGCACTGCCCCCTGGTGGAGGCTCGTGTGGTTCTGAACAAAGTGTTTGAGTGGAGCTGGTGCGGTGTTATTAATATCCTGTGAGCCAATCGTATGGATGCAAATCTTTGAATATTGTCACAATTTAAAAGTCTATATTTTTGGAGAAATAAACAGTGATGGTGATGTTGTGGTTTCCATCGAGGATCTTAAGTGACTTGTGCAGAGTTTCCCATGACCTCAGAGTGGTTTTATTTGTCTGAGACCAACACGTTATACAATAATAAAAACGAGACATGATCATTGCATTAAAATAAAGTTTGGGCTCCCTCCAGTGTTAGTGAGTTCCTGATACATTTGAAAGTTTTTATCTTGTATTTGAGGCTAAGGCTCATCTGTTTGATATGTTTTTTTAAAGCTGAGGGTGGGATATAAAATTACACCCAGGTAACGATATTCATTCAAATTATTTACCACTTCCCCTTTTACGGTTATGTTTGGAAACAAGGTCGTTTTGTTTTTATTATAAAGTACATTGTTGCTGTTTTACTGATGTTTAATGTGAGACAGGAATTATGTAGCCATGTTGCAACCTTCTCCACTGCTACAGTCAGTTTATTGGCTACTGTTTGAGCGTCCCTTCCCCATGTATAGATGACCGTATCTGAATACATCTGGATTTTGACATCCTCACACACAGATGGCAGGTCATTTATATACAGTGAGAAGAGCAGAGGGCCGATGTTGGAGCCTTGTGGTACCCCAATATCAGTACTGATGTTGGATGTGGTGTTACTGATTCGCACACATTGACTCCGGCCAGATAGGTAGGACTTTATCCAAGCCAGAGTATTTACAGACAGATTAAATTTGGTTAATTTTGTAAAGTAATGTGGGGTGACTAGCGGTGTCAAATGCTTTGCGAAGCTCTAAGAATAGTGCTTCTACTACCCCATTATCAAGCTTTTGTTTCTATGAGAAGGCAGCCATGCTTCAGGTTGAGTGCTTTGCTCGAAAACCAAACTGCAATGGGATGTAATATAGGCCTTCATCCTCCAGATGTTGTGTGAGCCGTTCAACTACTACCTTTTCTATTGCTTTTGATATAACGGGAAGAACACTAATTGGTCTGTAGTTGTTGGCATCTTTTTTATTTCCTCCTTTGTGGATTGGAATGATAGTGGTTGTTTTAAGTGTGACAGGGAATGTGTTTTCAGTTATAGATTGATTTATCAGCCTTGTTATTGGAGCAGTGAAGGTATATTTGTGTGTTTTTATGAGAAAAAGTGTCCATACCATGTATGTCCTTAGACCTAGAGCTTGATAATGTGGAGAGAATTTTGTTAACTTTTGTTTCATTTGTTACTTCTAAACAGAGTCCATTATGGTTAAATACCAATTCGTTGTACTGATTTTGGGGAAAGTTCTTATTAAGGGTGCACAGACTGGATGAAATAGTTACTAAAAAAGTTACTAATGTCTAGACTGTCAGTAACAGTAATACCATTAATATCTAATGAAATGGTGTCATTCTTTGTTTTCCCTCTTCCAGTGAGTTTGTCTATGCTTTTCCACAACTGTGTCATGTTCCCTTTAGCTGCTTTGATCATTTCTAGGTGAAAGTCAGCCCTGGCCTTCCGGAGTAGAATGGTGACTTTATTTCGCAAACTTTTAAAAATCATTCGATCTGTATTTAATTTGGATTTAGTGGCTCTTTTGAGGGCTGAATCCCTTTTTTTCATTATATTCCAAATTGTTTCAGTGATCCAAGGTATTTTTATCTTAGCTCCTCTCTTTCTGGGTTGTGTTATAGTGTACTTGCTGATAATGTGTTTGATTTTTGTGATTAGACCATCACAAGCATGGTCTGCATTAATCCAATTGACGTCAGTCCATGAGACATTTTTTAGGTCATTGTCGAGCAGGGGTTGGTCTTTTTTGGGGATATGGGGCGAGAATTGTTGAGTACCATGTTGATTGTTATGTCTATATTTTGACAGCTTCCGGGATATCAGTGTGATGTTATGGTCTGATAAACCTGTGAGTAAGTTGTAACTTTTTTTAATGCGATCAGGTTTATTAGTGAAGACCAAATCCAGTAGGGTTTGACAGGAGGGCGTTATTCTTGTAGGATTGCTTATCACTTGTGTCAAGTGTAGTCCATTTGTAATGTCCTTAAGTTTCTTTCTGCGTGGCTTATTTAACCAGTCCAGATTAAAGTCCCCCATAACAATCAATTCTTTGGCATTGTCTTGTTGTTTCAGAATGTCTGAGAATGAACTGAGAAAGGTGTCCTTGGCTGTGGGTGGTCTGTACACCACAATCACCTGAAATGACATTTCTGGGGACAGTGTGATTTTGATTCCCACACACTCAATATTATCAACTGGGATGTTTATTTGTTCACTTTTAATGTTTTCTCTTACATATATCATGACACCTCCCCCTCTCCCACTTGACCTGTCCTTTCTGTAGATCTTGTACCCCGGGACATGAATCAGGGCAAAGGGTGTTGTTGGTGTTAACCGCGCGTATAGACGCTCCCAACCTCCACCCTGGAAATATCTTCATCATTTACAATCCACACCCTAACCACAAATTCCCCCCTAAAACCCAAAATTCATACCCATTCCAATCGATTTCATCAACCTAACAACAATCCCTCATCCCAAATATCCCAATAATCCCAAAATCATACCCTTACCACAACATCTCCCACAATTCACTCAATCATCTTCTACTTTACCCTCTCATTCCCACCTTAATCCCATCCCTTCATATCACCTATCCCCACCCAACTAAACAAAACCCCCACTAAACCAAACCCAAACCATTTACCCCCAACACCCCCCTCAACATACCATTATCAACACTTCTCCCACAAAAAAATTACCCACATCCAAAAACATTACACCCATAAACCTATACCAACACCACCCTACCCCATTTCAACAATAACATCCCTCATCTAATTCCAAAATACCCCTACCTAATATACAACATATCATCCTTTAGTAAACCTACTTCCTTACACTCAATAATCATACCTAATCCTACCACTACAACATCTACACAATCAACTTATACCTCAACCCATTAAATTTTTCCATCACTAGTAATATCTCCTACAACTCCAGTCTACCACCGACAATCTCACACAC